ATCAAAATAATTACAGGACATTATTTATCTAATAAATGTAATTAAATTTTAAGGGAATGTCAAATTCAACCTGCTTTTCAGTGCTGTGCCATTTGGCTTTTCATGCCATATTTGAAACCAGGTTCACTCCAAAAGTCTTGCTCTTCATTGTTTCTAATTTTAATTGTAATGTGTTATAATCTGTATCGTTCAGTCACACAACCATCAACGTTTTCCCCTTTATGCTGCTTTTTTTTTTCCTCCAGTTTTGTCAGAGAAGATTGAAGAGATGGGAGAAAAGCTGAGGTCTCACTTCAGCATCGAAGAGTTTTCAGCCGTCTCGCTGCCTGCTCAGGTTTAAAATGAAGCTTTTCATTGTTCTTAAATCAGCCAACAGAACTTCATCCATAGAGCATTTTCATACAGTAAGGTGCAAAAAAGGTGCCACAAAAGTTCAAAACGTAAAGACAGATGAAATTTGAAACGTAAATAATTGCACAAAAGCTGCTCAAATTCAAATAAAAACAACTACAGAAATTAGAGATGGTTTGCATGATGTAATAAATCCAAATATCTGTGTAAAAGATTTAGGCCACCTCTGATTTCTTTCTCTTCTTACAGACTCTCTCATTATGAAAAGTATTGATCAATAGTTTACGTTTTATATATGAATAAAATTTTTAAGTAGATCCTTGAACTAAGTTCCAGAAGTGAAGCAACTTTGTGAGTCCATTTGATTTACCTTAAAAATTACAACTCAGTGAATTTCCTCTATCGCTCTTTTATGCACTTAGGAGGCATCTTAATAATCTTTTCACTCTGTAAAAAGGAGGCAGACATCAGGTCAGTCTGAGCCTCTCATTTCTTCAAGAGTTAAATTGTTCTGTAAACATCAGACAAAGATAGAAGTCTGACACCAGAAACGGATGTTTTCTGCAGATTGATGGACACATCAGTTCAGATGCAGGATTATCCTCAATTCCCAGCAAGTCTCAAATTGTGTGCACAAGTCTATATCCATGTGAAAAAATGGTAATAATAATAAATTAGGGATTTTTTTTTCTTCATTTATTACCTCTGAAGATTAGTAAGCTTGATTGCATAACCTAAATATTGTCAGATTTAAGCAGAAAATGATGCAATTGCTTTATTGGACAACTTTTATCATCCGAATTAATTGTGAAATTATTCTGAATGTCTAATGAAGACTTTTGTCTTTAAAGCACATATTATTCTACTGCTGTCATTCTATTTTTGCCCACATTTTAAACTGTGAAGGACTAAAGTCCTCCAGTGAAGTCTTTCACTGGAGCTTTATGAGTCGCAGCCTGACATGATCTGCTTCAAAGCCCTTGATTTGTACAACTGATGATGATGATGATGATGACTCTGCTTCGTTGTTTCTGCTCGTCTCCTCCAGGACAGCATAACCGTGTTGGGTCAGATTTGCTGCGACGGCAACGGCAAACTGAACGCCCAGTCGGTTCTGCTGGAGGCGGGACCAGAGCACGGCGGCCAGCTGGTGCCCGTCGACCTGTCTGAGCTCAAACAGTATTCTCTGTTTCCTGGTCAGGTGAGCCGAACATCAAGCGGCCCTTAAAGCTGAAGTGCAGATGTAGTGAGCGGTGGCTTCTCCTTTGCCTCTGCGCTGAGGTCAGTGTGCAGCAGGTTATACGGCCACCCAGAGAAACAGAGCATGCCAAGGAGGTGGGCTGGAGGCAAACCCACCGTCTGACCGAGAACTCTGACAGTCAAACAGCAATTCTCCTCTTTCTTCTTCTTATAATTATTGTTCATGAACATCTACCTATAAATGTCCTGTCATCTATCAACCTGGAAAAATCTGAGATTTTATTTAACTTTTTTCCAAGTCTGGAGAAGTTTAGAAGATCAAACTGGAGTAAAAAATGTCTACTTATATTTCTGGAGTTTATTTTCATCCAATTTTCTGTCCATCCATCCATATGTAAATGTTTTTCTCCATCCATCTATGTGTCTGGTGCATCCGTTTGTCCAAAGTCAGTCCGTCTATCCAACATCCATTTGTTTCCCTTAATCTGTTCATCTCTAAATCAGTTTGTTGATCATCACTCCATTTATCTGTGTGTCTGGTTGTCCATCCATCTAATCAACTGTTTTGTCCTGAAGTTCATCCATTCACTCTCTTTCTCTCTCTCTTTCTGTCTCTCTCTTTCTGTCTCTCAGGTGGTGATGATGGAGGGAATGAACACAACAGGAAAAAAGCTTGTGGCCTCCAAGCTTTATGAGGTCAGGCGCTTATTTTGCTCTTTCCTCTGCTTACTGTTTTGAGCCATTTGCTTCTCCTGCATCAACTCTGTGTTTGTTTAGGGAGTTCCTCTTCCTTTTTACTCCACCAGTGCAAAGATGGAGACCAATGAAGGTAATTAGTTTTCAGTAGAAACTCATCAATTCCTTTTTAGTCATTATCTGTGAGAAAAAGCAGTTTTCCTCTCTTCTTCTCATCTCGCTCAGCGGTGGAGCCATTGAACATTCTTGTGGCCTGTGGACCATACACGCCCTCTGATAGCCTGACCTTTGACCCTCTGATAGACCTGATCAATGTCATTGTCCGGGATCGACCTGATGTCTGTCTCCTGGTAAGCCTGTCAGATGCTGACTCATCAGTGTGAAGGAAAAGCTTCTTGGTGTGTTTTATGCCGTCTGGATGTTTGGTGAGCAGCATGTCCTTTTATTCTTCTTCTCTTCTCTAGTTTGGTCCGTTTGTGGATTCCAAACATGAGCAGATTGAGGTACGATTAATTTTCACTCCATGTTTAAAGCCAGTAAGATATTTTAAGAGCTGCATGGTTTGATGTTCATCTGTTTGTCTCACAGAAAGGCAAGGTGACTGAGACGTTTGAGACAATTTTCTACCGCTGTATCGACAGCATTGTAGATGGAACCAGAAGGTGTGTTACGACTCCACTGTTTATGTCCCCAATGGAACAAAATCCCGTTCTGCATGACTCAGTGCCGAGCCCAAATCTGGAGCGTTTTTATTTTTTCTTCTGTGAAGTGTTGGCTGCCAGCTGGTGTTTGTCCCGGCCCAGAGAGACGTCCACCACGAATTCGTCTACCCACAGCCTCCCTTCATCCTGCCGAACCTCAGCAAGGACCAGGCCCAGGTCGTTCTCACACACACACATACACACACACACACACACACACACACACACACACACACACACACACACACACACAGAACAGATGGTGTGATCCTGGTAGACTCAGCACATGCAACAAGTGTAAATCAATTCCTCCAAAAAGTGGTGATGCTGCAAATTCACTCATTTGTTAAATTTTCACTGGTCATCGCAACTTTTTCCCAAATCTGACCAATCACCTGAAGGTTTTCTACATTTCCTTCTTTTTCTGACCAATCACCGCTATATTTCTTGAAAACCGAACCCGCAAGATGAAAGAATGTGTGACTCTCAGTGCAAACATTTGCCTTTTTAGTTTTTCGCTAAAACTGTTTTTAGTTTTTGAGTTGAATGGTGTAGGATTTGCTTCCACTGTGTACACAGCAGTTCATGTCAACTTGTATGAGAAATGTGGAAATTTTCTTTTGCACGCTGACAACTCCTCAGGACTTGATTTTATTTGTATTATGGGAAAAATTTTAAGACGATACTTGAAAATGTTATTTTCACTTTAAATATTAACTGTGTTAAAATAATTGTCCCTTTTAGGGAAGTTACGTGCAGCAGTTTCAACTTTTCTGTTGACCATGTTATGGTAAAAAATCAAGTTTAAAAAATTTACCACTTTTCCACAACCTTTTGAAAAAGGTGCCACAAAATCAGTCATTTTAGGCTGCAGCAATTACAAAAACACAGCATCCTGGAGGGATTGGTGATTATAAATATTTCACCTGAGACGAATTATGTAATTTTTTTCTGACTTAATCCTCTAAAAGGAATCAGTTTAAACAAGCAGGTGAACTGAGACTCTCCTCTCAGCTCTCGTTCTGATGGTTCTCCGATGTTTAACGTATTTGCGCAGCGGGTCACTCTGGTTCCTGACCCCTGCACCCTGCTGATCGACGGAGTGACTTTGGGCTTGACGTCTTCTGACATCCTGTTCCACATGGGAGCAGAGGAGATCAGCTGGTGCGGAAACATTCACAGATGACAGAAACCTTTCTCTAATTTCTGCTCCCTGTCATCTGAGTTTAATAACTGTCGCTCTCCGCTGTTGCAGCGGCGCCAGTTCGGACCGATTCTCCCGCATCCTAAACCACATGCTGACTCAGAAGAGGTACATGTCATCCAAGTCTTCCTTCTTATTTTTACTTTTATTATGTTGAGAAGCACTAATGTCTGTCTCTTCCTGAAGTTACTACCCACTTTACCCGCCCGCCGAGGAGGTGAACATGGATTACGAGAAGTTTCAGATTCACGGTCAGATGTTGGTCACACCAGATATTCTCGTTGTTCCCTCTGAGCTGCGTTACTTCGTGAAGGTAGAAGCATTTCAGAATTGTTTCAAATACTGTACCAAATGTCCGCTTGTCCATGTTTTTAATATTTTAACTCCCCCTTTCCTCCTCTCATCATCAGGATGTGGCGGGTTGTGTGTGCGTGAATCCTGGACGGCTCACCAAAGGCCAGGTGGGAGGAACGTACAGCAGGCTGCTCATCCAACGCAGCGCCGCGCCCGAAGACGGCAAGCGAGAGAGCCCATGTTTAACCGCGCAGGTTGTGAAAATATGATATAATAAAGATTCAAATTGTTACGAACATGTAAAACGAGCTGAGTTGTCCACAAGTTTTCTGTTTTTCTTACCAGAATTTTAAAAGCATTTATTTCCTGGTGAAATCCTAATGGTCTATGTTTATATCCCAAAAATTTCTGAAGGGCTGATTTCAGAAATGCAGCAGAAATAAATTATTAAATTCATTTGTACAATTTTTGTTCTGCCCTGAATGTTTCTTTCAAGCTTCATCTCAACAATCACCTCTGCTCTGTGTGCTGATCTAAAAAAACCTTTCTGTGGATCATTTATGAGTTTGTTTTTTATTGTTTTCGTTTGGTGGTTAGAAAGTATTTTTTCAGCTCAAGAAGGAAAAAAACCATGGAAAGTCAGGTGGAAGGAAAAAGGTGGACATGCAAAAGGAATCACCAGAGATTCACAAACTGGACTGTGGCTGAATGCAAAGCTTAAAAAGCCACCAAACGGACCAGACTGCCGTTACATTTGGAAAACAAGGAGAGGCAGAGACTTCATGACCTAAACAGTGAAAGCTGCTGATAAATCAACCTGGGCTTCCTGAACACCTGCATGCAGCGCCGTGGTGATGCAGTGACCCCTTCGGTGTTGTCTGACCTGCTGGGAGTCTGAGATCTGCTGCTTTCTTCTCTTTCTCCATGTCGCATTTAGTCATAAAAGTGATCAGACTCATCCGAGTCACTTTTACGGCCCGTCTTCGCTCCGTCCTCCGTCACTTGAAAGATGCCCAAGTTGAGACATGTGGCTGAAAAATATATTCAGTACAAATCTCAATGATGAACGTCTTCAATTACCTGCAAAATATATTTATTTCCTGAGGTTCCTGAAAGTACCTTTGGGCTTCTCCTCAGTTTCTACAGCATTTTGTCTGAAAAGTGAAACAAGCGATTAAATTATATCCCATGATGTGTTTTATGACAGAAGATTTACTCACTTTTTGTTTATTGGCTCTTGAGGTGCCAGAAGATCCTCAATATCTTCTCCATCACTTGGTTCTTTTGACTTATTGTTTGAGGACTGAGTGTCGCTCTCCTCTTCCTCATCTTCAGCTGCTTCCTCAGGAATGTTCTTCATCTGTTTGGACCTGAAGCAAAATGGCCGCATGTCGTTTAGTTTGTGCCGAATGAAAAGAAGGTTTCATGGTTTCGTGGTCGTACCTGTTTTCCTGCAGACAGATGATGCTGTCCTCAGAGTCTCCTGCTTCTTCGCTCCTGAGAGGGCCTTCCTCCTCGTTGGACTCCTCTTCCTCTTCTATCCTCTCACTACCTTCTCTCTCCTCCTCATCGTCACCCTGTGAGGAGTCAGACTCCTTCTCCCCGTCGTCTCTGTCTTCATTCTCCAGTTTTTCTGACTCGTCTTCGTCTTCTTCCACGTCCTTATCCTCCTTTTGATTCCTATTTGGAGGAACCTCATCGTTGCTCTCCTCATCGTCTTCCTCAACTTCACCACTCTCTTCACTTTTCACCTCCTTCTCGTCTTCATCTCTACATCCTTGGATTTTCTTTCCTTCTTCTTCATCCTTTTCTTTTGCAATGCTTTGCTCAGAGCTGTAAACTTCCTCATCACCTCTATTTTCACTTCTTGCTAGATCATCATCTCCTCTCCAGCTCCCTGATTTATCATCTTGAGCTGGACTTCTCGTTTTTTCACTCAAGCTATCAGTCTGCTCCTCTTCCTCACTCCTGCTAAGCTCCTCTGCCTCCTTCCCGGACGGCGGTGACCCAGTGTTGACCCCCACGCCTCGCTCTGACCTCCTCCTCCTGGCAGTGCCTCCTTCCTCAGAGGAGCAGTTTGTTTCTGAGTCCAGGGCGACGGCGCAGGAGGCAGCGACGACCTCACTGGAAGTCCTGGATGACCTGATAAGAGATGGTTGAAAAATGGAGATTTGAGAGATAACCCCATGTGAGAACAGTAACAGAGTTTATTTTTTCTAAACAGCTGCATTTAGTTTTCTGGCAAGAAATCCTTGAACTACCAGCCTCAGTCAGGTAAAATAAAACCAACTTATTAGGTTTTGGTCATTTTTTGCTTATTTTAAAAATCTGCGAGTGTAATTATGTCGTTTCAGGTTTCACCTTCATAACTGCTTTAAAATGAAAAGGAAAAAAAACTGATTGGAGTGAAAACTAGATAAAACAGGAAAGTTGAAGACATCAGTTTGTCAGTATTTCAGATATTTAAAACAAAAACCTAATCATTATTTGTTACCTCTGAGAACCAGATCTTTCTGACTCCGAGGACGAAGCCTCTGTTCTTCCTTTCTTCTCTCTTTTCTTCTTTTCTCTGCTGGTCAAACTGGAATCTCTGCCACTCTCACTGCTTTCCACATGTCCGCTAGAGAGACGGACTGCAGGATGGAAAGAAACGATCAGTCAGACAAACATGTGGGCACTTTACTTGCACACAGAGTTTGTTTCCTCCTGCTTTTCACCTGGTTTAATGTCGAGCTCGGAGGACAAACACCTTCCGCCTCCACCTCCTCTCACTCTCTTTGAATTTACTGCGCTCGTCTCGTTTTCTCGCTCTTTAATTTGAGAAGCACTCGACGCTGGCGGTTCCTCAGTGTGGAGCTGGCCTGCAGATCCCACAGCGATCCCATCAGAGCAGGGGTGACCGCCAGGAGGGCAGCCTGCAGCTTCAGACCTCACCCACAGCTGATGGTGATCGAATGGGGAGGTGAGGTGTTGCAGCAGATGTGGGTGAGGATATGGGAAGTTGGGTGGAGGGAAAGGTGAGGGACTCTGGGATTGAAAAGGTGTTTGGAGGAGCCCTGGAGGCATGCCTGCTCGGGTTAACCAGGAAGACTCCTGATGGGGATAACAAGAGGAGCGATCTCGGCTATAAGCAGCACTTCCTTTGGTGGGAAACGTTTGAGAAGCATCAACTTTTGGAGCCTTTCTGGAAGGATCTGTGAATGAAGAGAAACTTGATGAAGGAAGATTCAAGTTTCCAGCTTCTTTAACAAGAAAAACTGTTCGCAACTTCATATCTTCGATGGCAAAAGAAGAAAACAAACCTTGTGAAATCAGAGCCTCATCAACTGTTGCTGTTGAGACTTGATTTTTACTGTGCTGTAGATAAAACTTCAAACTATCTTCCATTCTCTGTTGAGGAAATAAATGACTAATATGATGGGCAATAAACAGAAAGTTCTTTTTTTTTTTTCATTTGTATAAAACTTTTGTAGAAACACTTTTTAAAAAAGAGGGGGAAGGAAGTCTTATGGAGAAAATATAGTGATATCAAGAGGCTTTCTTCATTTGTTCTTTCATTGTATATGAATCAATGCATTCTTGTGAAGTGGAAGAAAGATTTTGCCTCAAATTTGAAAAAATGTGGAGCACATTTGGTTTAAGCTCTTATTAGTTAATAACAACTGTTTACTGCAGGTATTTTAGAGGTTTTGTCTACTATGTACTATCACCAATGTAAATGTACACATTTTGTGTTGGTCTGTAACATAGAATCCCAAAAATATTTTCATGTTTTCTTAGTTGTGACAACATGGGAAATAGTTTAGCATAAATAAATATTTTTAAGGCAGTGAAGTGAGCCAGTGAGTTTGGTAAAGCTGTGCTTGTACCTTTTTGTGAGAGGCCTCAATTTTCTCCTGAAGCTGCTGCTGCCAGCGGTGGAGGTTTTCCTCCAGGTACCGCTCGTACTCCATCTGAAAATGTTAGTGTACATTTTAATAACTGTTAAAAACAGACTGTCAATCCTGAATTACTTTAGAACATCTCCCAGTTACTGAATTCAATTCAATCTCGCTCTGATTGCTGCCAGATAAAAACTGTTTGAGAATCTGACAGTGCAGGTTATTGTGTTTGTGTGCTGACAGTGCAGGTTATTGTGTTTGTGTGCTGGCTGTGCGCGTCCTGTGACCCGTATAGTTTTCATGGCAGCATTGCAGGACAGCATCTCCTTCAGTGTCTCCTGGGCTCTCTCAAACTGCAGGAGAAGCTGCATGTTGTGCTCCTGTGCTCTGCGCTCTCTCTCCTTCAGCTCCTGCAGATGCTGCTGAAGTTGCATCTCTCTGCTACAGAAAATAGAGACGGAAACGTTAAAAATTGTGGTGGCAAGAATCGTGGAGCATTCTGTATCTGCATCTCAGGCCGAGTTGTGTTTGCACTGGATTAAACTAGTAGGGGAACTTCATCTTCTGCTTTCTGCTTTTGTGAACAAGGCAAATCTTTTTGGAGGAAAGTTTTATAGTCAGAGGAGACAAAAAATTTTTCAACCAGAAGAATCTTTACCTCTGTATAAACTGTCAGTAGTATCATTCACATCCAGAATGTATGTAAACTTCTAACTAGCACTGTACATTCATCCAGACTTCTGTAACATTAATAGGTTGCTGTAAAACAAAAATGTACTGTAAAGAGGATTTTTTTTTTTATGAAGCTTTAAGACAAACCCACAAGTGTCAAGCCTGCGAGGCAACTTTTTGAGTTCCTTACCGTTTCTTTATAAAGAGCTCTCTTTGTTTGGTAAAAGTATTTTGATCCATGCTGGTAAGATGCTCAACTGAAAGCAAATTCTCCCCTGGTGCAGCCATGACTGGCTGAGCTCCTTAGATGAACAGATTATCAGGGATTAAGAGCGATGCTTTGAGGGGGAGGGACCATAATCATGCTGCCAATCCACATACACAACACACATAACCTTTCTGAAGCACTCTTTTAAATGCATAATGGTTCTCTTTTAAAGATCAATCTAAATGGGTGATTTTATGGAACCATTCACAAAAATGTCTTCACTGACATCTGAAATTCTCACATTTTTATTTAATACTCTAGTCAAAGTCAACTAACAATAAAATACATTTGTATGTAAAACCACAAAATTTCAGCATCTAAAAATGGGTAGAAATAGGCACATCTGTTTTATATATTACTACTACTATTACTACTAATAATTATACAGCGATGATGATAATAATAATATTATTTGTTATTGTCCTTGTTGTTGTTAATAATAATTACTGTTGTTTAAATTATTAAGAATACTATTACTGTTGATCATATTAACATTACTACTGTTATTATCACTATCAATAATAATAATATTAGTGGTAGAAATAGTAGTGATAGTACAGGGAATGATTAATAAAGCTAATTGTGAGGAATATACACTTGAAGGGAGACATGTAATGGATTAGTTTAAATATCTGGATATTATTTGGGTTTTAAGCTTCTGTAAAATAGCTGCAGAAAAAAAGGCGGAGGAAATTTGAACACGCGGAACTGTACTGTGTTGTCCCCCTCCGGTAGTATTATTATGTAGCACCACATCTCGGACGTGATTTGAGATAAATTCAACAGAGCAGTTCCTTATCCAAAGAGTAATATTTTATTTATTTTCAACAAAGATTAACGTGATTTTGTGTTTTAGGCCAGAATAATGTTTCCTGAAAGTTTGTGACTCGATATAATTAACGGAGAGTCGCGTAGCAAAGCGAACAGAGTATTATTTGACTAGCCGCTAGCTAACCAACCACTGTGCGTCTCTAAAATCGCTCCTTCAGCTCGCTGAAACATGACAGGGTTGGGCAGCAGGTTGTTCTACAAGGTCGGGAAGCTTTGCGAACAGCTCCCTGTGTTCCTCAACACCTTCCTGGTGTTCTCCATCACCGGGGAGGTGAGCTACCTGGTGCTGGTGGAGGCTCCGCTGGACGCGGAGCAGCAGAAGGCGGCGTGGTCCACCTGGTGGAAGGCGCTGCACCTGCTGGGCCAGTACTTCATGCTGGGAAACATCTGCTGGAACGCTTTTCTCTTCTTGAAAGTCAGCCCCAGCATCAAGGGGGTGTTTCTGGGGGGAGATGGACTGGGCCAGGGCTGGAGGTAAGGAAGAGTTTAGGAAAATTAAGTTAATTTTAATCTTGGATCGTTCTAAATTAAGCACCAAACAAATTAATGAAGATAATGTTCTTTTATATTTTGATCATGTGTCATTATCCAAAAGGTCACATCAATACCAGTTTGTTGGGTAAAAGATTTTTTGTTCACACAGTGATCTTATCTTAGCTTGTCAGCCTTGAGAAGATAACTTCGGCAGAATAGATGACAGTCATGTTATTGTTTTCAACTGACTGTAGTTAGTGATGAAGGTCTTTCTGTAAAGCCTGTTGAAGTGTCTGGTTGGCATGCTAAAATTTCCTAAACATGTAGAATAAAAAAATATCAATGCAGTATTATAGTGCCTTGCAAAAGTATTAAAATATTTCCCACATTACTTCATTGTATTTTAGTGGGATTTTATGTGACAAATCCATACAAAGTCCTGCATAATTATGAATCACAGCTGCAGTTATTTTGGGGTATGGCTCTTTAAGATTTCCACATGTGGAGACTGAATTTTATGAGTTATTATGCTCCTATTCTGCAGGAATCCTACTAAAATGGTTGTTTTGAGTTTTTACAAGTAAGCAAAAGCAATGAACTTTTTCCATTATAGCTTTCATGTGCAATAATAACATAGTTCTTCTGGTTTTATATTTAAAAAAAATAGCACAATATTGATATTACGTTTATCTTAGTACTTCTAATCTAAAGTTAGTAAATGCTTAACTACAGTCTTAAAATAGTTAATAATTTGTCATTGGAAAAGTATCAACTAAAATTTCCTGACAGGCTAAAAGTTCACTTTGTATTTGTGTGATATTGTAGCAAAGTAAAACTATCTTAGCCGTCTTCAGCATTAAAAAATATTTTGTTTTCTTTTGTTATGCAGGTACTGTTACACGTGCGAGACACACACGCCTCCTCGCTGTTCCCACTGCTACGACTGCAAGGTGTGCGTTCTGCGGCGGGATCACCACTGCGTCTTCTTCGGCCAGTGTGTCGGCTACCGCAACTACCGCTACTTCCTGTGCTGCTTGTTGTTCATGTGGTTGGGTCTCCTCTATGCCATGGTGATGAATGCCGAGGTCTTCATCGTCATTCTGAAGGAGGGCGTGACTCTGCACAGCATCCTGCTGCTGCTCATACCCTGGATCATGCTTGTTTCAGGTCTTCTACATTGGCTGCCTTTTAACTTTTGTTTGTATTCTTAGTAGCTTTTAATATTACCTTCAAGTTGGATTTGCTTCGAAATGTTACATTTATAGTTCTTTGTAATTAATTGGGGCTCCTACGCATAAAAGCTGAGGGAAACAATTTGTAAAAAAATAGACTTTTTGGTTCATTCTTATAATTACCTTACTTGAAATGATACAAGCTAATATCTTCCTTTGTCTTTCAGGCCAAGTTTCAGCGCGGGCCTTCACCTTTGCCTTCATCGCCGACACCTGCGTTGTGGGTTTCCTGCTCGTCTCTGCCTTCTTCTTCTTCCACTTGTTCTTGCTGTTTCGAGGGCAGACCACCAGGGAGTGGTACTCTTCTCGCCGCCCCTACAACCTGGGTCCCGTTAACAACCTGCGGCACGTGCTGGGCCTTCGCTGGTACATCTGCTGGCTCTCCCCGCTTATCCCATCAACTCTCGTTGGAGACGGGATAAACTTCCAGGTCACGGGATCGCTGGAACCCTGCCAGTAACATCCAGACGTCTGGACAGAGTCTGACTCTGTAGTGGTGTTGGTTTATGCTAACAGGAGCAGCAGCCGGAACATTACCTTTGTTTAAGAGGAGGTAGCTTTGGATGGGATGCTGCTTGGATGCTTGGTGGTGGTCTTATCATTTGAAATTATTCATCAGGCTATTGATTGCGCTGTGAAGGGAAATCAGGGGTCGACCTGGAAATGGTATCTGCACCGGTTAAGGCTAAACTCAGATACTTATTCAATTCTGACAACACTGAGCACTGAACATATATTTAAAACAGCACTGAAGTAAGAATGTACTGTATCAATGATTAAAAGTAAATGTAGAATATTAAATCTTTCTTCGAAGGCATTTGCAACTCACAAATGTGGTGATGTAGTTTAACTTTGAGTGGACTTTTTTCTAAAGACCTTTGCTGCCTAAATCAGTTTCACTCAGAATTGTTTTGCACTTTTCCAGATTAAACTCCAGGATATTCTTCATCCACTTCTGAGCTGCTGCTGAATATATCACAGGGCTTTAGTGGGGGCTGTTTCAAGCTGAACAAAAATATCTATACTGAAGATGCACGATCAGATTGAGGTGAAGTTTCAGCTAGGCCAGCCTTAAAAAAAATGTTATAAACTCAAAATTATCATCTTTTTTGTGATGTGTAAACACGAGCTGAACTAAACAGATCACTCTTCAGTCTGGAGAAGGCTCTAAGGTATTTTTAATAACATCAATGTGTTTAATATAAAAGCAGAGGGAAACAACAGGTAAGAAGTTTAATTCGAAGAAAACTTTTCTGTGATATATGTTAAAAATTTGGTGGTGTTTACTTAGGCTAAGAGAGAAAGCAATTCCTTCACCTCATAACAAGAAAGCTGAGCAATTGTGCATTTTGTTTTTTATCTTTTACAAACAGTTTTTTTTCAGCCTCTGTTTGTTTGGGAACCTGCTGGATTTAGAAATGTTGTTTGCCTTTTGGAAATCTTAGTTAAGATAAGGTTTTGCATTCTCTAAGAAATACACACAGACAGATGTGTACAGTAATTAATGCTAACTGTGCTAAACGCTGATATATGATGCTAAAAATGGTTTTAAATGTCAACTTTGTAATCATTTCGCCTCTGTTTTAAGGTCCTGTCCACATTAACAATTGTTTTCCTGGTCTTTTTTTTACCCTCTTTCATATTTAAGCATATTTTTTGGTGGCAAAAACATTCAGACAGGATAACAGGAGATATTTTAAATTTAAATTATGATTGAAACCCACTTTGTACTTGTCCACACTCTTTTTCTATGCTAGCAACTGTGGGTTATTTAACATTTGTCTCACTTTGCCATGACTTGGTATCTGTTCAATTACTTGTGTAAACTAATATGTACACAATCTAATTCATGTCAAAACCATATAGATTAAAAGAACGGTGTGTTGTGTAGCTGATCCTTAAAATAATAGTAAAAACCCTGCTTTACAAGAAGTCCTCACACAATCAGACATCAACTCTGATGTTAAAAGAAAATCATAGTTTGGTCACAAACACTAGTGGTGCATCTCCGACTTTCACATTTATTTAAAAAATCTCTGACAGAGTAATTTTTTTGTTTACAGATTGATGTCATGTAAAGTCATCTAACAAATCCAGTATTTAAAATGATTTTCTTACAGTGGTGTGTCAAGTTTGTTTCATAGTTTCTAATTTGTTAGTGTTCTGGCCGTCAGGGACTCAGTGACATTGTGTGATTGTACCATTCCCTTCTGCAACAGCAAACTGATCTTTATGACATCCTTCCTTTGAAAGGCGACAGTTCCTATCTTAATATTTGAATCAGTTAGTCTCTTTATGGTTGAATTTTTTAAGGTATTGTTGAGGCTGATCATTTCAGCACGTTATCTCCTATGGTGCCCTGTTTCAGTCCAGTATGTAGAATTGCCTTTGGGCCATGCTAACATGTCTTACTGCACTTTGATGCCAGCTTTACTTTCATTACCTCGCCTGTATTTTGTCATTCAAACTCTCCTTGCCTTAAAGTGAATCAAATCACAAGCCTCTGGTTTGACAGGTTCTTAAGTGTTGGTTAATCTAGCAAAAACTGTTCGGTTTTATTGGTCTTAATTTTAATTGTTTTGAAAAAATTGCTGGTTTTTTCTGTTGTGCTTTGTTGTTTAAAAGTCCATCATCGAGCTCTTTGACTTGAGATGCTTTGCTTTTGTTATTATTTTGTATCTGCAAACGTGTTGTGATGTTTACTTTAAAAATGTTGTTCAGAAAAGTGTTTTCTCCCACTTCTGCTTCAGAGTTTCTCAGATGTTTGATTAAAACTATGAAAATCAATGATATACCTGTTACCCCCGAGTATTTGTGAATGTAATTCAACAAGAGAGCCTGAACACTAACCCTACAGGTTCCTTCAGGGAATGTTCCTTACAGGTACAACAGTCTTATCTACTTTAAGGAATGTTTCACACAAAAAGAATATAGATATCTGCCTAATGATGCTTAGGGAACATTATTTAAAGGTCAGTTCAGAGAACCTTTCAGGAATGGTCTTTATGCGAGAAGGCAGTTTCATCAATTTCCTGGAAACTATCAGAATTTTCTCTTAAACGTGCCTCAATGTTTTCAACTTTTACGGTGTAACTTTCAGGGAATCTTTAAAGAACGCAATCTAAAAGTCAGTTTCAACATAAAAAATGACTTTCTCAGGTAATGTCCCTTAAACCCTGAACATTTAGGGAAAGGCTTCTGGCTTTCTAACCTTTAGGACGTTGAGGGAATTAAAGAAAAATTAAAGTCACAAAATAGCTCAAAGTAGCTAAAAATAAAAAGTGTATATTCCTGTAGGCTTCCTGTTCACTTTACTGTAGTAAAAATAGATCCAAATCGAGCTTATTGAGTATCGGTGTGCAGAACGGAAGGAGTCCGACTTTCAACGGCCGCCATTGGAAAAGTTCCTGACAACTGCCACACCTGTTGCTTCTAGGTTCTTGTTGGTAAGATTTATATTTCCCCCCAATTCTTGACATTTATTTATCTGTTAACAGTTGAACTGCTGGGACATTGTGAAGTAGAGCCGGGGACAGACGTGAATTCACAGCCAAGTTGAAATGTGCGCGTCTCAAGTTAACGGGACCGTTTTGTCGGCTTCGGGTCTCAACCGTCACAGACTCCATTACTGAGCTGTTGGAAAATGGCTGTGAACTGCATGAAACATGTTTCCCTTTCTCTGGCTTTGCCACGGAGTTTAGATGGTTTAGAGATCCTTTATCTCGAAACTGGACGAAAACCTTTCCATTTTAGCTTATTGTTGGACTATTTTAACATCCGTTGGTTACATTACCCGAAGTTAACGTTTTCAAAATTAGCCTAAACACAACAGCTTGTCTGCGATATTGTGATAAATGCGGAGTTTGGTTTATTTTTAATTAAAACCTGTGTTATAAAGGTTATTAGTGTTTGGTCTTTGAATTTTGGGGGTCTGGAGGGGTTTGAAATACCCAATAAAGTTAATTAACATTAATAATCAAAGTTTTCTTTCTCATTTAAGTTTTTTTTTAGGTGGTTTTCTAAACTCCTACAATCTGATCAGTTGATAAAGATATTTTTCCTGTTTGCTTATACAAACAGTGGAAACCAGAGCCACATCCAACTTTTTTTCTCTCTCACTGTCTGAACTTAAATGAGGCCAAACCTATCTTGTTTTAGATTGGCTAAAAATACCTAAATTATGTCTATTTGCCTTATTAATGAGATGAAGAGAGGTTTACCTCTGCTCCCTCATTTGGTTCCTCTTGATGTGAAGAAGCAGCAGCTCTGAGAGCGTCCCAGATGACTGAGCCTTTATATCTGAGGAATCTCAGATAATCCTTCGGTGGAAAGTCACTTTTCCCGTTTATTACCAGCACATTCAAACATGACAGGGGGCATCCACACACTGTTCCCACAAAGTTATGAGAATGAATTTTTTTTTTTTTGCTAAGCTGGAAGCTTTGAAATTTCCTTTCACGGAAACAAAGGAGCCAGGCCCAATTCCTGAAAAACAGCCCCACACCCGAATCGTCTCTATGATTAACATGACTCTCACATGACTCTCAGTTAAAAGTCGTTCAATGACACACCCAAACCAAATTCCCAGAGGAGGATTCATCACTCCACAGAACATCAGAATGGTTCGACACATTTGTGTACTGATTGAATTACATTTTGGGATGTAAAGCTCGGAGGATTTCCACAAAGCTCTTTTTGTGTTGTCTTTGAGCAACTTTCTCTTGACCAGCTAATTAGTCTGGAGAAAGTTGGGGAGTAAAACAGATGTGGCTGGTACATCCTTATAAATAAAGGCCTGTACATACGACAATACAAGTCTTAGATTTACTGGATGCAGAGGCCTTTAAAGTCAGACTCTAAATCTTTTATACTGACTATTGTTTTTAGGATAAAAACTTTCCCATTGTTGATTTAACTTTATTTCCTATGCCACTGTAAAATGTAGATGTATTCAATCTGATGCTGTGAGAATTTCTTTCTCATCACTTTATTGACGTGTTTTTGCAGCACAGGGGAGTACTTGGCCAGCCAGATGGATGTTACAGAGGAAAATATGTGTGTAACGCTCAATAAACAAAAACCTCTATGCACACACACAGACAGGTTGAATTAAATGACCAATCAACCGAAAACATTTTGTTTCGTAAAGATCCCGAATGGATATGCTGGACAAAATAGCTGAGCTGGATTACAGCCAGAGTCAGCTGAGGGAACTGAACACCGAGATGAGGCACTGGCTGGATGTTGCAGACGACGACATGGCAGTGCTGCGCTCAGAGAATGCCAGCCTCAGGAAACAAGTGAAAGAGTGGGTGCATCATGCCGCCTGTCTTCTTTGACTCCCGCTGCTCCATCTTTTAGAGTTTAACCGCCACAAATGCTGACCCAACGACTTCCTTATTTTCCTCTTTTGTTCCTGTGTGTCTGCAGCCTGGAGAGGATCTTTAGTGAGCTTCAACAGGT